CACCACTTCTAATAGAGAAAAAGTGCTAAAAATCTCGGCTTAAATTTCGCATTACATCACTTTAGCCTCGTTATACGATATTGAACCTATCTCCTACAATCTCTGTTCAGTGACTAAAAGCCAGGATAACTGTTCTGAACAATTCTGCAGCTAAACCTTTATATTCCGCAAAATATTTTGTTGTAAGAACTTTAGCTTATTCGATTTATTAATGTAATTAAAATTCCTTAATACAACAGCTTCAATAATGCGTCACGTCTCGTTACTTCGAGACCATAAACCTGTTGTTCTGCTGGTCGGTATCTGCTCAATAGTCGGACATCCATCTACTTCGAACCTACACCATAGCAGCTTTGGATAAGACGACTATCGATGGAGATCTTACTGAAAGTCAGTCAGTTCAATTCCTAGGTGAGGTCATTAAGCTGTTGATGAAATGGCGGTGATTGTCTCCCGTATAAAATCAATCACTGCGATCGGAAACCAATGGCCGCGGTAATTGGCGAATTACGTAGCGGATCTTGAAATCTCCATTTTTAAATTGTAGCTACTTAGAGAACATCTACTCTTGAAACCAAGGCCACCTAGTCTTTTGATGCCTGAGGGAAATAAAACTTGGTTCCTGTATACGAATGGAACGACAGGGGCCACGCCGTCGCCTATTCGTTTGCGGCAGTTGGACATAAAGCACCTTGCACTAAATGGAATGCTAATTAGAACGTACAGCATTAGAGAAATGGACGATCTTCTCTGCAGCACCTTTGAGATTGATTTGCTTGTAAATGTGGCATTAAACCGATGAGCCTACACCAAACTATCCCCTTCGCGCCCCCTCAAAGTAAGAGCTTATTACAGATAATCGTCAAAGCATCTGAATATTACCAGAAAAGCTTTATTCATTTTATAATATAAAAGAGAATCCCTAACATACAGAATCCTTGGTTCTCATGCCTACTCTTAGCTAAAAGCAGTCCGACATCAAACTGCTGAGTATTTATTACGGAGCCAGTTTCTTCGAATCGTAATTCGGGGTAATACTTTGATTTTTTGTTTTTCCACACATTAATTGCCAATGGTACTTAAAAGCCTAATACCGATCTTTTTTTGTGCGTTTGATGGGATTGCTATCATTTTACACAGGCGTTTGAGTAACGTTAAGAGACGAATTATATCTCAAGCTTATTTTTATTACAGGCGGCGCTGCGTATTTGAGGTAACAAAACTAACGGTTGTGCTAGGAATTGGGATAACCCACTACGGGGACTTATAGCAATAACCCCTATCTTATTACAACAGCTTGAACGGTTGAATTATTCTTTGACCAAAATAAAGTTACTTTTCGGTGTTAACAGCACCTGATATGGTTTGTTTTCACTTTTATAATCTTGATTATGCCAATTTGGACAGGCTTTTTGATTGAATCACTTTTTCATAGGAAAGTGGAGCCTTTAACTTTTTCATTTGTTAATTGTCTTCCTAATATTTTAGCTAATCCTTTACTTTGAGATTATATTACTTTTTTATTAATTTATGGTAAGTTTATTTCCACCGCCATTTCGTTTGATGTTGCTCGCAGACTTATTATTTTATACCTTTTAACCCTTCATCCTAAAGTGTCTTATCTGAAATCAGTGAATCTTTCTGATTTATTTTTTCGATTATTTAATCTTCTGTTTTAAGTTCTTATAATCTCCTTATATATATATATATATATATATGTAGCCTAGTACATTGTACTTTAATACCCCGATGTAGTTTAGGCCCCATCATTTGTCGCCGGGTCCTTTGTTTTGCAAACCGTGTCTACTAACCCTGACCAACGGTGTATCTTACTTTCTATTTTAAAATGCATCACTGCAGAATAGGGAAATTCCCAATGTCTGCCAACTCTAGAGCCAAGACGAACGACGATGTAGATGGCTTATTCAAGGTTCTAGCGCACAAGGAGACTGACAGAATTTTAGGTGTCCATTTGATGGGCCCGCAGTCAGGCGAGCTTATCAATGAAGCTGTGCTGGCAATGGAGTATGGTGCCTCGGCTGAGGATGTGGCTCGTGTTTGTCATGCTCATCCAGTGAGTCTAGTATGCCTTTTATGTGTCACTGAGTTAACCAATTATTCAAAGGTTCTTAACCGCCCAAATATCTTTTGGCAGTAGAAATGAAGGCAAGGGTCGTCTAATCAATCTAGGTCGGTATCACTTTCGAGGCCCTGTTTTGTTGACAGATAAAATTCTTAGAAACCCGCATGATTCTGCTTTCTTTGGCTTTATCTTCCTATATCATGAGCAGCTGTAGAATGTTGAGTCTACTTGAACGACTAATTTTTACTTTAAAATAATACATAGTATTTAATGGAAAAACTAGTTCCCTAGCAATATGGATTTATAATATTATAATAGCCAATCTATTTAGAAATATCTGCATCTTTAAAGGCTTTCGGAGCCTCTAAAACAGAATTTTGAACAATTATATCTACACTTTTCCGTGTATTCATTACATAGAAGTATGATGGTTAAACGGTAAATTCATTTTAAATTTTGGGCATGAATTCGATAAGCTTAATAACCTCTGCGTTAAATTAGTAAATAATTGTCTAATTATTGCTTATTACCTAATGGAAATTTCGTATATATAAGAGGGCATAGATAAATAATTAAATGATTCGAATTTATATTTAATTAAGCATTACTCATAAAACATTTATTCAGATCATTTATTATCCTTATATTACTGGTTTTGCTTAGTTTCTAAATCTATTTTACCTCATGCAAAGGGCCTACTACACTTCATTTTAGATTAATTACATTCATTGGGTGGCACATTTTGTTTTGGCATCCCAAGGCAATGTATTATTTCACGCAACAGGCTTCTTTCCCCATCTGTGTTTTCTCTCGCACACAGGTTTACTCTGTGTAATCTCTTCAGTTTATCTTCAAGATTTAAATAATTATTGCCGTCTATAAGATTTTGCGAAACTTCTTTTTACTAGGCTTCACTGAAATCTTTCCTTCTGCTAGGATCTTAATTATTCATATTGATTGCTGAATCACCATTAAGGGAATGTGTCTTTTGACAGCACTAAATGATGAGCATACTTATGCCACTTGAAAATTTTAGATGCTGCTTATGCATATTGGAACACTTGACAAAATAACTTTATGCTAAGAAGGCTATAGATGAATAAATGAACCAATAACACCTATTATCATGAATACTATGATAAATAATACAGGACTAGGTGCGTTTTACAAGTTCTCCCTGTCGCTCCGAACAAATTGAGGAAACGGGGCGAAGCAACACTATAACTAAAGGATACCGCAACTAGGCTAGGGCCGCATCCACTCTGAAAAATGTCACTCGCTTAATAAATTTCAATTATCTAGTATTTATTCGATATCCATATTAAGCATCTTTTGTCTTTATATTTCATTTATTTTAGACGGTGTCCGAGGCTCTTAGGGAAGCCAGCCTATCCGCATTCTGTGGCAAAGCAATCAATTTCTGCTAGTACTACCATTCCTTACTATTATACTCAGTGCCGAATTTATTTGTTCTTTTTACTATTGTAATGCGTTCCGTCAGTTTACATTCGCATCTAATTTTAAATTATGCTCCTCATGATTAGCATTGGGTCAAATACTACTTTCTCTTAATTGATCCGTGCATTCTTTTTTATCGGTTTATGTGATCTTTATCATTCTTAAATCAATTCATTGAATAATTTAACCTCTACCTTTTTGGAACCAAGTCAATCAATGGAGACGTACTTATAGATACATTTTTTTCTAGTCGAGCCTTTGTCCAAAGCTTACTTCTATTAGCCCTATCGTTTGCTGAAAGATCATTATAAGAATAAATTTATTTTGCAATGCTTTTAGATAGACGATCTAAATTTTTCCCCTATTGTCTAGTCCCTCTGATTTGCAGAAGCAATAACTTCACATTGTGAGTGCAAATAATCTATTATTAATCTTGGTGCATGTTTTGTTTTTCCCAAAGCCGAAGCTTATCTGCATCGAATCCTTTAAATACCGAACCGAACACAAACCAAATCTAGGGAATGAGAAATCAGTCACTGCGTCCTTTGTATAGAATACAAAAAGTTGCGAGGACTTATAGTTGAAAGAGAAAAATAGCGGTGACGTGTAACGCTGGTGCGAGAATGCAGGGCTTGGATGGAGGGGCTCGCGATCGAAATCAGGTTGCGGAATAGCTCCTCGATCGATGGGTGTTTCTGGTTTAAAATGCTCTTGTGTACTTTTAATGACATCTGCTTAGTTCAACAGGGAGGCTCGATTCATTTGTTGGGTTTGTTTGGTTGCCGCGCGATGAATGCAGATGAGTCATGCTCGATGTAGTGTTACGTGTGTTGAGGAGCCGCTATTTACTTGATGACGAGACAATGACTGAAGCAAAACTTTGAATGTATCTCGTAGATATGATGACTAAGCTGGTGTGGCCTTCTGTTTGGTCGTGGTTTTCTATGAATATAGACTGATCGTGGTGCATAAGTCACTATTTATATTTGTGTTAAAAAAGCCCGATTTCGTTGATCCCTCTGCTTATTTAATGACATTGGGCTTGTCATTTTCTCTGAAAAGTTGCCTGGAGGGGATGCGTAAATTGTCCCTACAGGAAACAGGACTATGAGTTGTCAAGTTTTATTTGTGGGTATGTTTCACCGCCGCTCCGTTCCTATTCAGCTTTTGTATGTCGCAAAACTCATCAGATCCGGAAGCCATTCTCTACACAAAATCAACAAACACTAGGCCATTAATTGTAGTCCTAATTTTTTTCCTAATTAAGTATCTTATGTGTTAGCGTCTATACGCAGTGCCAGTCCTAAATCAGTTATCAAAGGGCTAATGTCAGGCTCTGATCACCAAGGCCTAATGACTCAAGAGAAAATCATGACCGAGACTCCATAAGTCTGTAAGCAAGTATGGTTGAGACAATGAGATATGAGCTGATAAGCATGTAAATTAAGTTGCGAAACCACTTGTCCTAACCTCTCAGTCTAAGGTCATTAAGGTTTAACTCACCAAAGAAAGGCATGATTGGAGCTGCGCAATCTGGCACATTTGGTTTGGTTGATGAACTTAATCTAACAGAATTTTGTTTGACCTTGTTTTCGTAACTTGGTCATAATAGTAGGAAGACTTATAGAAACGCACCTTGTCCTGAGTCCATTGTATGCATAATTATTTCCAGTCGGACTGTGGACGTTGTACATTCCCAGACGTTTCGCCAGCATCGTCAGTGAGTTTTACCATTCTTAACACTATATTACAACTCGTCAAAGAGACAAGTGAAGCCGATCCTTTGACCAAACCTGTGCTAAACAGTCATGGTATCTCCCGTTCTGCCCTGGCCTATCACATTACCTATAACCTCCAATCACGCCTTCACTGTCACAATATTTGTCTTGCTTAATAAAATGGGGTTGGTGCCCTTTTTTTAGCGGCTTTAATGAGAACTCTCTCCACTCCACGCTGGCCTTCTCACCGCCCTTCATCCTTGTGCTGGGAATGTTGATCTGAGTCTGCCATATTG